GATACCTCTCGCAGTGCTAACGTACTCATCACATAGCTACCCAACTGTCACTCCCGCTAATAGGGACAATACAGAACGTATAAGATCAAAAAAACAGCTCACATAATCAGCATCTTGGTGCTCAAGCCATAAGCAAAATCCTGCCTCAAGTCCACCCAACTGGCCCGACATCAACTCACAAAGATCACGTCTCACCCCTCGATCAGGGAATCACAAGCTATTAAGGCACATCTGTTACTGAGCGCTCACGCGCGCGTACGAACACGTCGAATGAATTTCAAGAGTTTCTTTTCAAGCTGAATCAAGAACGCATGATAAGAATTCAAGAATGTGAAGTTTTCCTAAAGGTTCTGCAGCCTCCCGAGGATAAGTACAGACGTCTCCGTACTGATCCACGAGACTCTACTAAACCGGCTCATGACTCGCGAGACCAAGTAACCTAGGCTCTGATACCACCTTGTCACGACCCAACCCCGGTCATGATGGCGCCCAACACACTGCTAGGCAAGCCCGACCATGTACACAACCTTAGCCAATTAATCTAGATAGATAAATAAATATTCACTAATAAAATACCAAATTTAAGTGCGAAATCTCTGAAATAATCTCTAATATTCGAAAACCCCAAAATAAANCTCATGATTCGCGAGACCAAGTAACCTGGCTCTGATACCACCTTGTCACGACCCCAACCCCGGTCGTGATGGTGCCCAACACACTGCTAGGCAAGCCCGACCATTTACACAACCTTGACCAAATAACCTAGGTGGATAAATGAATATTCACAAGTAAAAACAGCAATTTAAATGCGGAATCTCTGAAATAATTTCTAACATTCGAAAACCCCAAGATAAAATACTATATAGCCCACAGATCTGGTGTCACGAACATGAGCCTCTAAAACGGAATATTCACCTATCACAAGTCTGTCTAGGAAAAAAAATACGACTAAAAGGATAAAATGGATGGGAGAGATCAAGGCTGCGAACGCCATGCAGCTACCTCGATACTCCCGGATAAATGCTGCTCCGCTAAACAAGTCCTCACTCACCCTGTGGTGTACCTGAATCTGCACACAAGGTGCAGGGAGTATTGTGAGTACTTCCAACCCAGAAAGTAATAAACATAAATAAGGGTTGAGAGTAAGAAATCATGGACAGGCACAAAGTAAGCTATAATTACAGCGGCTCAATCTAAATAATATCAACTCAATAAACTAATGAAAACAATTATAGAAATATCACAACAGATGAACAAGTAAATGGCAATAAAGTATGCAATGCAACACATAAACCGGTACCTCCAGTACCCCGTTGCGGCCGTGCAGCCCGCTCCATTTATTTAACGTCGACGGCGCTCACTGGGGGTGTGCAGACTCCGGGAGGGGCCCCTTACGGCCCAAGCGCAATAATAAGCCATCTCGTGGCATCAAACAGGCCCTTGGCCTCATATCAATATCATTATAATACTGTTGCGGCGTGCAGCCTGATCCCATACTCAGTCCAAAAATCACATAATAGTATAAAAATATTCAACCCAAACTTTATTTAAAAATATTAACTTAATTTTTAGTTTAAGAAAATGGCTGAGACTTCAAACACAGTATTAAATACCAGGACTGAGTTTAATATTTATAAATATGGTAAGAAACCATTAGAATAATCCCTGAAGGATTCAAGTAGTTGGCACGAAGCCCAATTACGACAATTAATCCATTTTTATAAGGATATTACAAATCTACAATCAAATAGGTATCAATTTTATTAAGCGGAACGGATCAAGTCACAATCCCTGACGGTGCTCTACCCCACGCTCGTTATCCGGCGTGCAAGTCACCTCACATAGCACTACGTTGTGCAAATTCGGGGTTTCAAATCCTCAACACAGCATTTACATTTATTACTAACCTCAAGCCGGCCAGGGTCCTAGCTTGCTATGCCCTTGCCTTTCGAATTCACCTCTTCGTGCGTCGAATCTGACCAAAACCACAACGAATACGTCACAATATGCTAAGGGAATATAACCCAATCGAAAAGACTCGAAAAACATCAAAAATCACGAAGTTGGCAAAACCCGAGCCCCGGGCCCACGTCTCTAAAAAATTACAAAATTCACATCACCGGATTCCTCGTCTCGCCACGAGTCTATACATATCAAATTTACCACAATCCGATTCCAAATGACCCTTCAAATTCTCATTTTTGTTCTATTAGGTTTCAAGCCCTAAACCACCATTTTTGACCTCATTTCCTTAAGTTTTCAGCCTAATTTCATGTATTTGCATGATAAAATTGTGTTCTAAGTCCAAGAATGCTTACCTGATCGAAGTCCTTGAATTTCCTCTTCAAAATCGCTCAAGAACACCCTATGTCCGAAGTTGATATATGTATTCTGTAAATATTTCGCGAAGGGAATTAAAACCCTTTCTGATCAGTTATTTCCGCTTCTGCGGTCCTTTGTCGCTTCTGCGACTACCGCATCTGCGATAATTTTTCTGCTTTTGCGGAATTTCATTTAAAAATCCAAGGCCGCTTCTGCGACATAATGTCCGCTTCTGCGGAACTAACTCTCCAGCACAAAAACCGCTTCTGCGTTCGCCTGTCCGCTTCTGCAGACTCGCTTAAGCGGAAAATTTTCTGCTTCTGCGAAACTACCCTACTAGGCCATAAGCCGCTTTTACGACCCTCCTCACGCTTCTGCGGAACCGCTTCTGCGGTCCGTTTCCGCAGAAGCGAAAATACCAGATATCAGATATAAACCTGCAATCTCCAACTTAAATTTTCATCCCGTTAGCCATCCGAAATCACCCCGAGTCCCCCGGGACCTCAACCAAAGACACCAACATGATCCAATACTTTATTCTAACTTTCTCCAATCATCAAAACACCTCAAACAACACTAAAACCATCATTTCTCATCGAATTCAAGCCTAAGTTCTTCTAAAACTTCCGAAACACGCATTCGATCAAAAACCCAACCAAAACACCTCCGAATGACCTGAAATTTTGCGCACACATCCAAAATTACCTAACGAAGCTACTGCAACTCTCGGAATCTCATTCCGACCCTCAGATCAAAATCTCACCTATCCGCCGGAATTCGCCAAAATACTAACTTTGCCAATTCAAGCCTAATTCTACACCGGACCTCCAAAATTACTTTCGATCACACTCCTAAGTCACAAATCATCCCCCGAAGCTAACCGAATCATCGGAATCCACATCCGAGCCCTCTAACTCATAGGTCAACATCCGGTTGACTTTTTCAAAACAAGCCTTCCTTAAAGAGACTAAGTGTCTCATTTCTTATCAAAACCATTCCAAACCAACTCTAACACATCAAATACTGATAATGAACACATGAAGAAGCATAACATGGGGGAAACGGGGCGGTAACTCACGTGACGACGGGTCGGATCGTCACAGCCATCGCCTAAAGCCCTTTCTCAGTGTCGACTCTCTTTCGCTGGGTAAGTTAAAAACTTCTTTCTGAAATTTTAGACCTTTTGATGATTGCATGTTTGGTATTCCACTCAAAACCGTGAAATGTGATGTTAGGTGTTATGGGTCTTCATTTTTCTTGATATTTTTTTGTGGAACCCGAAATTTTCATAAATATTTGCCCAATAATATTTTGTGTAGTGCGAGGGAAGGTTTTTTGAGCTTGTGTTGATATAGTAATCAACAAGAGTCTTCATTCTGTTCATTGCAATGAAATTTATTTTTCTTTTTGTTCTTTTTTTTTTTTTTTTTGGGGTTTGTACTATCATATTAAATTGCTTACTTCTAGGATGATAAAGTGAAGTTGCAGCTAAAATTAACAAAGCTGAAGGATAGAACATGGGTAGTCTTTGGACTTGTTCTTTTTTCCTTATGCTGTTGTTTTGAGGAAAACTCATATGATGAAAGCATGAACTATATCGAGTTTCGCAGTGGTGCCAACTCGATATTTATAATCTTGAAGCTCTAAGTTACAAAAGTCAGGTAGTAAGATACTTTTGCTAAATATATTTTCATGGTCCAGGCTTTTAGGTGATTTTAAATTTCTGCTCACAGTAAACTATAATGTCTCATCCCATTTTTTTCTTTTCTTTAAGGTTGAGATCAGATGTAATTATTCTTTTAGATGTGGTTGAGTCTCTCTTAGTCGTGTGATATTTGGGGAATTTATTCGTGCTTGTAAGTTATAATCACTGATTGTTATAAAGATAAACAATATAAAAAGGAATAGAAATTACATAACTAGTCTGCGCATTATTTGAATGGATGAGAATTTGTACTAACATCCGGGAGAATACCCTTTATGTACTGAGCACTATCTTAGTGCTTGGTATTTTGTAATTTATAAAACTTTGGTTTCTCATTTTAAAAGTATGTGGTACAGAAATGACTTAATTTCATTAATAAATGTCTACATTGTGGAATTGAGATATTTTATAGAAAATTGACCACGTTGGACAATAAACATTTCCCTCTTTGACTAGTATAGTATTATTGTATTTTCGTTTGATGCACTGTTTCTATTGAGATCCTACTCTTATGGGAAAAAGTTGTTGCTGCAATGCTAATTTTTTTATGGGTGATTTGATTTGCTTATCTTTTCCACTTATGTTCTTGTTGATATGCTAGTTGTTGTTGCACTTCACTTCTAATTAACTAATTGATTGCCTTTTATCCTAAAAAATAGTAATGGATAAAAGTTGGTTGAATCTTAGGAATAGAGGAGACCAAAGATACAGAGCTGGAGTAGATGGTTTTCTTAGTTGCGCATTCGACCAACCAAGGGTGAGCACTATGATTCGATGTTCTTGTAAAGGGTGTATGAACACTGTGTTCAAGCTAAGAACCGATGTAAGAGGAGACTTATTGAGGAAGGGTTTCTGAAAATCTTATAAAGTGTGGGACTTGCATGGAGAAGTGTTAGTTAGAGGTGAAAATTCTAATGTAGCATGCAATGATGAAGTAGGAGATGATAATATTGAAGAGGATAATATTACGGAAATGATTCACGATGCTTATGGATACACTAATGTGGCAGATGATAATAATTTTTCAGAGGATAATGAAGAGCCAAATATACATGCAACAAAGTTCTACAAATTATTAGAAGATGCCCAGATAGAACTTTATCCTGGTTGTAGTAAAGTTTCAAAGTTATCTTTTGTTGTTAAACTACTTCACTTGAAATGTCTTAACCAATGGAGCATCAAATCGATGGATGAATTGTTGAGCTTTTTGAAAAAAGTTCTTCCGGAGGGGTCATTTGTACCAAATTCTTTCTATGAAGCGAAGAAAGTTCTTCGTGACCTAGGCTTGGGGTACAACAAAATAGATGCATGTCAGAATGATTGTATTTTATATTGGCGCGACTATGCCAATGCTCAATCATGTCCTAAGTGTGGTAAGTATAGATGGAAGTCAGACGAACAAAAAGGAAAGAAAGTAGCTTGTAAAGTATTGCGACATTTTCCAATCAAACCAAGGCTTCAGAGATTGTACATGGCAAAAGAGACAGCAAAAAAGATGAGGTGGCACAAGGAAGAAAATATTGATGATGGTGTCTTACGACATCCGTCCGACTCCATTTCCTGGAAATCCTTTGATGAGCGACATCCCACCTTTTCAGCTGAATTAAGAAATGTTCGATTAGGTTTAGCAAGTGACGGGTTCCAACCTTTTGGTAACATGAGTGCCAATCATAGTATTTGGCCAGTCGTACTAGCTACATATAATTTACCACCATGGGACTACATGAAGGATTCATATTTTATGATGACACTTCTTATTCCAGGACCCGAGTGTCCAGGTAATGATATAGATGTATACTAACAACCAATGATTGAAGATTTAAAAGAATTATGGGATGGAGTGGAAACTTATGATGCATACTCAAAATCTTATTTTAAGATGCGTGCAGCTATCATGTGGACGATTAATGACTTTCTTGCGTATGGAAACCTTTCAGGATGGTCAACGAAAGGCAAGCTTGCATGCCCTTGTTGCCACAAAGACACAAAATCATTTTCTTTACGTAATAAGTCGTGTTATATGAGCCATCGTCGCTTTCTCCCAATAGATCATCCATGGCGCCGAAATAGGAGGAAATTTGATGGGAAGGTAGAAAATGGGGTTGCACCTAATCCTTTAATAGGCGATGAAGCACTTATACAATTCCAAGGGTTGGGAAATATTAGTTATGGGAAGGGGAAAAAGCGAAAACGTGATTTTCCAAAAAGTGCTTACAATTGGAGGAAGAAAAGTATTTTTTTTCAATTGCCTTATTGGAGTACTCTTTTGTTACGGCATAACCTTGATGTAATGCATATTGAGAGAAATGTGTCCGATAATATTATATTAACCGTGATGAATATGGTTGGAAAGACAAAGGACACACTAAAAAGTAGATATGATTTGGTGGACCTTGGTATTAGGCAAGAGTTGCATCCGATAGAGGATGGGGATAATGTATTATTACCTGCAGCATGTTATGCATTGTCCTCAGAAGAGAAGTTGAAGTTATGCAATTTCTTGGCTAATTTGAAGGTTCCTGATGCATTTTCATCAAACTTTTCAAGATGTGTCAACGTACTTGAAAAAAAGATTTATGGATTGAAAAGTCATGATCACCATGTATTATTGCAAGACATTCTCCCAGTTGCAATACGTGGTTTATTGCCTAAGGCAGTGTGTGAACCAATTATAGAGCTAGGCAAATTTTTCAAAAATGTATGCTCTAAGTCCTTGACAATTGAAGTCTTGATATCCAGGAGGCTGAATGTGCATGCACATTATGCAAACTAGAAATTGTTTTTCCTCCAGCGTTCATTGATGTCATGGTTCATTTGCCAATTCACTTGGCAAGAGAGGCAAAACTTGGTGGACCAGCTCAATTTCGATGGATGTATCCTTTTGAGAGGTAATGTGTTCTATAATAAAAATGTCATATTTGTTAATGACATATTACATTAATGAATCATTTGCATATAGGTATTTGCGAACACAAAAGTCATATGTCCGCAACAATACTCGTCCTGAAGGTTCAATTGCAGAAGGTTATTTGGCAACGAAAAGTCTCACATTTTGCTCACGATACTTAAAGAATATCTCAACCAAGTTCAATAAACCAGCTAGAAATGATGATGGTTCCGTGTCAAATAGTGAGATGTCTATCTTTAAGAAAAGTGGGCAAACAAAAGGTGGTTCAGAAGGCATCAGGTTATCTCATGATGAGTTCAAACAAGCTTGTATGTATCTGCTTCAAAATTGTGAAGAGGTTTCACCATTCATGGAGTAAGTTAATTATTAATTCCAAGTTAGGCTCATATTAAAATGGTTTGAATACGTTGTCTTAACTAACTCCATTATCAAAATGGTTTGAATACATTGTCTTAACTAACTCCATTAAATCAATGCATTCTTATCTTTTTATGTTTATTTTTTTACTGTAAATGACTACGCTTAATTGCAGGGCCAGCTACAGGAACTAGTGGCTCGGCAACACATCTGAAGAGAACGAGCATCCTTTGCCTAGAGATGAGATTTTATCTGCCGTTCTCGGTGAGAGAACAGGCTATGTTCGTGGTAAGGGGTACGGAAAGAAGCCTCCAAAAAAGAGTCACATTCAAGCAGCAAACTTAGAGGCTAGTGTGTCTTCTGCTATGGCAACTGTGCGTCAAGAAATGCAAGCTGAGATGGGTCGAAAGTTGCAAGAAGAACGTGAACAAATGGCTGCCGAATTAAAAAGAAACATGGAACAAGAGTTGCAAAGGAAGTTGGAAGAGAAACTTGAGCACGTGAAAAGTAGACACCGGATCAGTGTAGAAGTAGCCAAGAGGATTCAAGAACAACTGGCTGCTATCATGACTGGAATGCAACAGGTTATCTACTCTTAATGTTTATGTACTCTTCCTTCCTTCTTGACTATTCTTCTTTTTTTTTTCTTGAAGTTCATATTTTAGCTAAGTTTTGTAGCTGAAATTTTATAGCTGGTGTTGTTTTGGCTTGCACCTTCTTCAAGTTAAGTGCTTATGGTCTTTATAAGTGCTTAACAATGCAATCTGCTTGCATTTTGGATAGTTGGATAGTTGTAGATTAAGAAGCCTGTAAAGAGCAAGCAAAAAGAGAGCTATTCTAATTTATTCTAATCTGAGACCAAAAGGCATGTATTCATGTGTTTTTTTTTGCTTCTTTCCTGTCTGTCTTGTTTCAAGAAGTAAGGCGCAGTTTCTGCTGATTCTTAGACTGAATAAATTTGGTGCAGCCAAGTGCAGATGCACTGTATGTTGAAATATCCTTATAAGCCTACGATTTCTTGAACGATATTCACAATTCCTATGGGCCATATGAGTTTTCGTAGTAAGCCCTTTTCCTGAGTTGGTTGTGCTTATAGTTTGTGAAGGCTTATCTAAAGATGCTTTTTCTTGTGACAAGATTCAGATTGTTTTGCAAATTTTCTTTTGTAGGACATGATAATGATTCCCAACTGGTTCTGCATACTGTCAAAGTTTTGAGTCTGGCGAATAACTAGCTATAACTCCTTGATTTCCTGTATTTGCTTGCTTGATACAATTTTGATTTCAGAATGATGTGTGCACAAAATGGTATTTAGCAATATGTGAACATTAATCAGGAATTGTCATCTCTTCTGCCTCACATTCCCTCCCATGTAGTTCCAGCATACCAGCAATTCTCCAGTAGACTTTGGCATAACGCATTTGATTCCTTTCAAACTTAGAAATAGTTGACATAGCTGATCACTGATTTCACAATGTATAAAGATGGTTAATGCTCATTCACATAAATGGCATTTGAGCACAGTTGCATTCCTAAAATTATCTTGAGTTAAACATGCATCTTCAACAAACTATTCTGTCTTCATTGAAGGCCAAATGATTTGTTGTCCAGTATCATTGAAGGCTATATAAATAAACTATGTTGATGCCTTTAATGTGATGTTAATGTAGTTCATTTGCTGTAGTTCCTTGAAATTATTCCAGAACCTTGAAGAGTTCCTTTGCCTTTACTTCATTTGCTGTAGTTCCTTGAAATTGTTCCAGAACCTTGAAGAGTTCCTTCACCTTTACTTCATTTGATGCCTTTACTTCATTTGCTGTAGTTCCTTGAAATTGTTCCAGAACCTTGAAGAGTTCAGCTATCCTACTTTAGAAATCTTCTGAAGTTAATATTCTTATATGTATCATTTTTCACCTTGATGTTATCTTCAAGCTCTAACAATGTGATCTTCTATTTATTTCTTTAATAATAGGGACGAGGTTCTTAAATAGTGGTGACAATGAAGGAGGAGCTTGAAGCTAAGGCACTCAATGTGTTGCTTTTTGGTTATATGTAAATGCGTACGATGACAATGAAGTATTACATAGTATATATGCGGAGGAACTTATGGCTAAGGCACTCAATATTTTGCTTTTTGGTTATATGTATATGCGTACAATGACAATGAAGTATTACGTAGTGTATATGCGGAGGAGCTAAGACACTCAATATTTTGCATTTTGGTTATATGTATATGCGTACAATGGAAATGAAGTATTGCATAGTATATATGTATCTGAACTTTTAGTAATGGAAGTGTTTAGTATTTGGTTTAGGAAATTCTTTTGGTGTTTATTAAATACTATTGTATGATCTTAAACTTATATATTAATGTAAACTCGAGTATTCAGTTGCTACTAGAGTAAAAAATAGTGAGTTTCAGTTGTAATTAATAGCGAGTTTCAGTTGCCACAAAAAGTAACCATTCAGTAGCGTTATTAGAGTTGTCGTTGCCACTGAAGATTAATTATTTTGTGACAACTAAGTCGCCACCTAAATGTCACTCTACTGTAGCGCAATTAGAGTTGCCACTAATGGAAAATCATTTTTGTGGCAACTAAGTCGCCACTAAATGTGACTCTTCAGTAGCGGTATTAGAGTTGCCACGGATGGCTAAACATTTTTGTGGAGACTAAGTCGCCACTAAATGTTACTCTTCAGTAGCGACTTCAATAAAATCAATCGGGGGGAACTCTTTTTTGTGGTGAGTTACATTTAGTTTTAGAAGCGACAACGTCGTCACAAAATGTATACATTCTGTGGCGACCTCACGTTGTCGCCACTAGTAACATTCAGTAATGGAAGTACTTGCAGCAGTTCCAACGTCGCTACTGTAAATATTTAGTGGCGACAATTGATGATTTTGTGGCGACTTTGGTCGGCACTAAAGGACAGATTTCTTGTAGTGTAATTATCACTGGATTCATATTTTAGAAACTTCTATAAATTGTAATTTGTCTTTTATGCCCTCTAATTCAAACGTTGTCCACGATTGTGTAAAGACAGTTCAAATAAAGACAATTTTTACTAATACTATTTTATTTCTAAAGATCCATATTATGAATTTTTAAGAATAATATGAACCAAACAATTTATATTTTAAATTACCATGTGTTAAGAAAAAAATGGAATTGCATTAATAGGTCCCAGTTCTTGTGGACGTTATAGGGAGTGGTTGTATACTATATTCTCTTCCGTAGTCCCATAAAAGTACAGCTAGTCGGAAACATTCATTAGTCCCATTTATTTGATATCATAATCACCTCATCGAAGGATTCGAGCGAATCTTTCGATAATCTGTAAGAAATTCTTTATCTATTTTTAGAAAATTAGAAGACAAGAACAAAAGACAAAGAAATGAAGAAAAATAATAAAGTTTATTATGATACATATCTTTCTCACGTAAGAGATGAATAAGTCCATTTTATGTGATATGTGATATACTCATATATAACTATTTATTTTTATTTACAGGGACACTCCATCTAGATTACTTCAAATACAAGTACCTCCTATTTTATTTTTGAGAATAAGAGTTTCTAAAAAGAAGGAATTGACACTTCTATGCACAACACGTTCAACGAACAAGAAAATATGGGCTCATTTAGCTGGCTATATGAGAAAAAAATAATTGAACATAAAATTGTGCACTATATTTTTTTATATCAATTTTACATTGCTTAACATTTGATTTTCAGTCTAAGATCTTTTTACAACTAATATGTTATTCGTGATCGAATATTCAAGAAAAATAGATAGGTGATCGAATATTCAATATTTAAAAATAGATAGACATTCAAGTGTAATTTCAAAAACAATATAAAGGATATGTATAATGAGATTTTTTCCTATCTATACCATATATGAAACTTTATTACCAAAAATGTGCATAGTATGTAAATTACCCGTCCAGTCCACGTTTTACCTACAAATTTTGTACCATTCGTCTATTGGGTATTAAAAGGACAGAATATTCCCTAAAAAACGTGCTAAAATTAAGGAGAGAATCTTGGTATTAATTGATTCTACATTAAATTCAATTTTTAAAAGGGAAAGGAGATTTCTCATCTGCGTATTTTTCTCCAGAACTACAATTCAAATTCTCGAGAAAAAAAAGAACGAACAGTTACAAAAATTACGAACAGATTCAACTACGAACAGATTGGACGAACTGAATTCAAATTGTAGAATTCAAATTTTCGAGTTTCAACAACTCAAAGTTGATAAAATCTGTTTTTCGTCGTTTCTTCTCTAAAATTGTCGCTCAAATATATCTGTTCTTCATCTTTTCTTCTCTCAATATAGAAATCCAAAAAAACATCAACAACAATAAGAAATCATGTCCAAATCGCAATCATGCTACAATTTTAATGGGATTTGGGATAACTATGGCGGATTTAGAGATTTTGAAGTTAATACCATTGTGGTAGATGAGAATGCAAAATCCCAATCATGCTACAAATGGGAAAAATCTGATTATAAAAAATGGGTCTCATCTACAAAATTTCTACAAAAAAACTAAAAATCAGTTTTAGTATTGTATAAAGTTGTACTGTTTTTAAAGGTATCTACAAAGTTACTACATTTATACTATAATTAAACTACAATCTATGTTGAAACAAAAATGTTGACTACAAAATTTTCTCTTCATCTACAAAATTTCTTCAAAAAAACTACAAATAAACTACAAATCAGTTTAAGTATTGTATAAAGTTGTATTGTTTTTAAGAGTATCTACAAAATTACTATTAATTGATTTTCTCATCTACAAAATTTCTACAAAAAAATTACAAATCAGTTTTAGTATTGTATAAAGCTGTACTGTTTTTAAGGGTGTCTACAAAGTTACTACATTTATTCTACAATTAAACTACAATCTATGTTGGAAAAAAATGTTGACTACAAAATTTTCTCTTCGTCTACAAAATTTCTTTAAAAAAACTACAATTAAACTACAAATCAGTTTAAGTATTGTATAAAGCTGTATTATTTTTAAGAGTATCTACAAAATTACTATATTTATACTACAATTAAACTACAATTTATGTTGAAAAAAATGTTGGCGGAGGAGAAGAATTATAGTAAGAGAATAAGATAGGAAAAAAAATGAAAGGAAGAAACGATTCAAGGGAGAGATTGACGGAAAGTTTCCAGAGAATTTGGGGCGGAATGTTTAGCTTATTTTGGGGTCATTTTGGTGGAATTTTGTTTGGTTACAGAAGAGGAAAAAATGGTAAAAAGAATGTGGGGTATGGGTAAAAACGTGGGGGGGGGGGGGGGTGAAGGGTTAGGAGAGAGAAACGTGGGATATATGGATACCTTTAATTAAGGAGTAAAAACTGCACATTAATTAGATATGGATACCTTTAATTAAGGAGTAAAAATAGTCCATTAATTAGATCCTTAATTAAGTATGGTATATGATTAGTAATTTGGTATGCTAAGTGTAATTTACTGAAACTTTAAACATGTAGGGTAAAAAGGTTTCCTATGTGGTATAGGAATGTAAAAATTCCATGTATAATTAGGGTGTCCCTCTAATTTAATCCAAACGTGTATCCTGATACGCGGCGCCTTCCTGAGATTCCTTGGAAGGGCGACGTACGGCTAGGCAACTGATGTCAGTCCAGTTGCTGTCCGCCAACTGAGGTCCCCTCCGTACGCTAGACGAGATTGTCAGTGCCGTACGGGAAAACCAATGTCAAGAGCAATTGAAAGAACAGAAATGAGAATTCAGAATGAAAGAAAGCTTGATTGCATTAATGAAAGCTATTACAGAAAAGCAACGCGGTGTCGAGGGGGAGAGACACCAGTACAGAGAATTGCTTGCTTGCTAGAAAGTTTTGATTGCTTGATCCCCCCTAATAGTACTTAAAAAAAATAAACCAAAGTTACAGGAGTAGACCTAATTAAGCTAGAGAAACATAATGGAAAGTGCATGAAATAAACTACTCTATATTTACAATGAAAATGACTTAGTTTTCTATAAGGCAGCAGCAGGCCCGTTGTCAGCAGCAGTGTCTTTGGCATCACGGTCTGCGCGCGCGGCGCTGTTGGCTTCTGCCTGCGGCATGGCGCTCGCGAGGGATATCGGTGGGGCGACAGAGGCACCTGCGCGCTTGTCACTTGGCGCGGCCAAGACCACGGGGCCGTCCGTGGCGCTATGCATTGGGAGGTTCGCTAGGACGCCACGGGGCGCGCCCAAGGGGTCATGGGGCATGGCTGGAAAGCCGCCCATGACACGCGTGTTTTTTTTCTTTCGTTTTTAATGGTCTAACCATATATGACAGGGTAAAACATTCCAAAATTGGATTTGAAAAGTCAAATCTTCAAATTTCTGATTATTAGGGTTTGTTGGTTGGAGAGAGATTAACTGAGGCCTAAGCTCAGCTCAAAGAGAGAGAAAGAGAGAGAAGCCTCCAACCTAACAAACCCTAAGATTCGTACGAGAACAAATCAAGAAAATTCTTGGGGCATTTAAAAACATATTATTTGGAGCTCTTAGCTTTTGTGATTGCAATTATCATCCATAAAGGTGCAATCTTTGAATCCTTCTTCTTTGTTTTTATTATGGGTCTCTGCTTAACAGTCTAATCTTATTATTATTATTATTATTATTATTATTATTATTATTATTATTATTATTGTTTTTGTTTGTGAGGATGAAAACGCTCGAGTTTGTGTGATTCTTTTGTTCCTGTTTTGTGGGTGTTTGTCTCCTGCATTTATTGTACATAAAGATGCAAACTTTGAATCCCTATTATGTTTAGGCTATTGGTGGTTTGAAAGTAATCCTTTCTACGTGAGCTTCACATTGCTGGCTTGGGGCGCCATTTATTTGGGGTGGGGTGGTGGGGGATGTATCCCCAAATTATTGATTATTGGAATGAAACATGCCGAAATAGAGGCGATCCGATGAAATTGAGTTTGGAGAAGTATATTATAGGTTAAATATCGACTACCTAATCCCACTACAACTTGTTGCGCTCCTGCTACTAAGAAATTCAACAGTCCCAATTTATTGGACATGGATAGAGCGTAATGGATAATGTATTCATATAAACAATTTCAACTGATTTGGCATTGAGGCTTATTTATTGATGTTTTGGTTCTTTACTTCTCTCTAAGAGTGGGCTGTTAATTTAGATGAATAAGCAATAGTTTCTTCATGCTCCTCTTTTTTAGAAAAAAAATAGTTGTTAAAGTATTTGTGCGGCTCTTCTTGACTAATTTTAACTTAATATGAGATCGAAGGAACAATTGTTGTGCTCGTCTTGGACCTTGTCGTGCCTATTTGGGCTGGTTAGGCTCATGCAATGCCGGCATCAATGAGGAATGCTACTAAAAGAATATCAAATCAAAGGAGACTCTTTTAATATTACCTACATATGCATTGATGTTTACTGCCTCCAAGTACAGTTGTTTTACCAAGTTTATTTTTTCATGGTTTCTTTCTCATGATATTCTCTTTCATGTTCAGTAGGTTTTTGGGTTCTCAAAAGTTATATTGGAGAAATGAGGCAGTGAATGAATTGATGCTTGTTAATAAATGTACTGAGCGTGATGATAGTTCTTGTGTATAGTGGTGGTGGTTGTGTTTTTTCCTATAAAGAGGTGCAAGAAAATCAGCTGTGGTTGATAAGCCGACATGCCGAGTAATTATCTTTTCAGATTAAGCCACGCAGCTAGGCAGGGACTCCAGAAATCTATTTCTGGGCAAGAAAGTGGGCCCCAGGACTCAGTAGAGATTTTGGTTGGCCAAGGGAGATTGTTGTTGGGCAATTCAAAGAGCTTCTATTCCATACCATTTGCAAGATCAGGTGACCTAAATGTGTTTGTTCGGCCTGGAACTTTAGCTGCCACACAGGCGAATTTGCATATAGTCAACCAGAAAAAGAATCTTTCTGTAGTTGGATCTATTTCTCGTGCAATTTCTATTCCGTCTGTATCAGGGCCTGCATTTCAGGTCTGTGGCTATCACATTGATCGCTTGATATCTGAGCCTACTCACGGTTTGTTGGACACTAACTATCACAAAGCACCTATGGAGATCTGTGGTTCAAGAACTTCTCTGCCTGGCTGTTCCTCTAGTAAAATGGCTTCAAGGCATCTCAATCCTGTTTTGGCTGTAAATAGTCCTGTTACTTCTTATAGCAGTAGAAGCTTTAATTGTAGAAAAGCCAGCATGAGTTTGAGAAATAAAAATCAGCCCAACAACTTCTTACTTTACGGATACTTCGCATACAATGTGGCAAAGAGAAAGGGAAATTCTAATCTATATGAAGGTTTTGGATTGACGGGGTTCCACACTTCATCACCTGCTTGTTCACCTGCGGGCACTGCTCCTGATGTGTCCTTTGGTAACTCTACATGCGAGGTGCAGCTTTCAAGTTCAGCAGATTCTTCCGAACAGTATGTTTCCTTACATAACTTTGCTGTTCTTATTCAACTAGCTGAAGTTCATGTAGCTGAAATTTTCTGTGCTGATTATGCACTGACATTTAGAAAGAAAAAGATAATATGTGAACTACAGATGTCTACTGGAAACGAAGGCAATGTTAATGACTTGAACACTACCCTCAGTACATAGAAACTTAAAACATTTTGGTTAAATAACTTTGAGGAAATTGTGTGAGTTGGGATTCTAATCATTTGCGGTCTTTAACGAAATTGTGTGATTTAAGGTCCTAATTATATGCGTTTAAAATTTAATTTCAAGAGCTCAAATGGAGGTATTAGCATGTGACTTCTTTCAGAGGTTGTCTTGTTAGGATGTGCGGGTCTAGTTCATCCAAACCTGCAAGCCTGCTTGCATATCTCCTCGAACTCTTCCCTTCTCGGACTCGGAGTATAGTTTTTAGAGGTCCTTCGTGAATGTAGTTTCTTACATCCAATATTTATGCCAGAAGAAAATTGAAGAACTGAAAGGGTTGAGAAATTTTGCCTCCTTACAGACTTTACAGCTAACCTAAATTAAGAAATGAAAGAAGTCAATTGTTAGCTTGTACCTTTTGGGATAATATTTTCTTTTATTCGCCTGTGCTCAGTGTTATTAAAAGCTATTGCTTCGTCACTTGAAGTGATAAAGCGATGCAAAGCTAGTGGTTTCGCTTTATAGGTGAAGCCATGCACTTCATAAAAGTGTGCCCGTCAAATAATAATGTGCAAGGTGATCCTAGCGAGAAGATGACAGTTCTTTGAATTTCAGCTTTTGGGGATGGGCTTATATTGAGATTACTGTACATTGGATACTGAAATTAGTTACTATATTAATTACAATTTGATCATTGTAGTACTTAATTCATAGATGCTTGGTATTTTCTAATGTTATAAATGTGCGCTTCACTTCTCGCTTTTCGCTTCAAGTCCCTTGGACCTTGTCTCTTTTTTACGCTTTTCTCTTTTAAAAACATTTCCCGTGCTTCAAAACTATATATGCCAATGTCAAACTCTGTAAATGAAAAAAAAAGGCAAAAAAATGATTTTGAAGACCTATTAAAATATTGGATGCGCAAGTAGTTTAGCCCCTACTAGCTTGGAAGTGAGGCATTGATGTTATTGCCGTTTGTTATTAGAATATTTAGATGCTTAATTTGATTTATCTACCACCATGAACAAGCTACTAGATGATTTCAGGGTAGGTACTCGAATAAAAATATATAATAAAAATTATCCTGTAAGTTTCTCAAGGCTAGCAACTGGTGTGGGAAGCTTTTGTCTTGTTCAGTTGTTCGAAACCTTTTGTAAAGCTGGCATCTATCTCTTTGGAAGAATAGTTGGATTTATTTCAGCTCTCTCAGTAAATGAGAACTTGTGACTAATTTGGAAAGAGGAAACTGTGACTTATACCTTTTGCTATCGAGGGCCAAGTTTTTGCTTAGTCATTATGAAGATCTGGAGCATATTACGTATTCCCTCCTTGGTGGCCTGTAGACCATTTATCAAAAAAAAAAAAAAAATTACAGGCAGCTTATTTATTTTACATTGAATTGGGAAGTTTTTCTTTTCAGCTGTATTGTTTCTTTTGTCCAATTGTAGGAATATCCACATTGATAGAACCCTGAAGCTAAACTCAGGATCATGTTACCTGCCTCATCCTGACAAAGAAGAAACGGGTGGAGAGGATGCTCATTTTATTTGTGGTGATGAACAAGCAATTGGTGTAGCTGATGGTGTTGGTGGTTGGGCGGATCTTGGTGTTGATGCTGGGCAGTATGCACGAGAGCTCATGTCTAACTCAGTAACTGCGATTCAAGATGAACCAAAACGTTCAGTGGACCCAGCCAGGGTCCTCGATAAAGCTTATACATGCACAAAAGCCAAAGGTTCCTCAACTGCCTGTATAATCGCCCTTACCGATCAGGTACATGTGCAATTCTAGATCTCCTATTCTAATTCATGAAGCTTGGGCTTTAGAAAAAGGTGTCTTGGTTAAGTTGGAGTATGTATTGGTTTGAGCTTGGCTGTTGATCCATTGGTGTCTTCAGATTCTGAGGATTCTTTTAATTTGATGTTTCCCTTATACACCAGACTTCTTGACATTTTAGTAATGTATATAACTAGGTGCACAGAACTTTCTTCTAGTCTTGTGATTAAAACAGGTAATAAAAGATTGATATGGTAACTTTAGAAGGCAGTTAAAACTTATAAAAAGAAAAATGAATCTAGAACTTAACATCATTAAGTTAACTTATCATTTTTCCTCTCTTTCCAGGGCCTGCATGCCATTAATTTAGGAGACAGTGGATTTATGGTGGTTAGAGATGGATGTACTGTTTTCAGATCCCCTGTGCAGCAGCATGATTTCAATTTCACCTATCAACTAGAGAGCGGTAACTCTGGCGACTTGCCAAGCTCTGGAGAGGTCAGTAGTGCCCCCTTTTTCTTAATGTAGAACTCGTGTGGTAATGTAGAACTTGGTTTAGAGCTTCCGTTTTTTCCCAAAATCTGGACAATATTTTTCATACTCAAATAAAAGATAATTTTTTTTGAAACTTACTCAAATAAAAGATATTTCAGAAGCCTTTTTAATTGTGTTGTTCTTTGTTGATTGTTCTATGTCATTCTAGAGCAAAGAGTTGGGGTTCAGGTGGTGTTTTTAGATTGTTCTCTTACAGTTTTGTACAATAATTTATTTTGTTAAACATAATATGGAGAAAAACCTTTTCAATTGTGTTCAAATGCATTCCCTCCTGGTTTACTCGTAGAGGTGAATCTTGAGAAGTGTACCATGCTTTAGAAATCTGTTATTCTGTTTTTAGACTTCTTAGCTAAAATTACCTCTGGTTCTTGTCCTTTATTTTTGTTTCTTAGTTTTGACAAGTGCCACTTCTTTTCAGTTATTGACCAGAACTTTTTGGCCATGTCAATAACATCCTGTCTTGTGATCACTATATTTCTTTTTTATCTTGTATCATCTTAATCTGAATGACTTGCCTGTGTTGCAGGTGTTCAAAATACCGGTGGCACCAGGAGATGTTATAATAGCTGGTACTGATGGGCTGTTTGACAATTTGTACAACAATGATATTACTGCAATTGTGGTTCATGCAACAAGAGCTGGCTTAGGGCCACAGGTGACAGCTCAAAAGATAGCTGCATTGGCTCGGCAAAGAGCACAGGATAAAAACAGGCAGACCCCTTTCTCTGCTGCAGCCCAAGAAGCTGGGTTCCGTTACTATGGCGGGAAGCTGGACGATATAACTGTGGTTGTCTCCTACATAAGCAGTGACAGAAATGTATGAGCACTTTGTATATCCGCCACCAGCCCTTCTTTTATTCTCCATAGCTTGCAGGTCTAAGGTTCTTTATTTGCCGACATTTGTTCAATTTTTTTGCGTGGAGATGATGTCCCTCAGTTCAGTTTAGCACTGGATATGCTAAATTGTACTATCATATTTCTACACTAAACAGCTTTGTCAACCTTTCAAACACAGGCCCTACTTCATTTTTCTCTCTAAATATAAACTTTACTACCTGTGGAGGGTACTGTATCTTGTTTCAATACCCCAAGTTTCTGTTAAAATTTACCTTATCAACGAAAAAAATCCCCAAAAGTTTCCTTTAACATTACCTCATGCCTATGTTGCCCCTACTCTTCATTTAAGCTTCATTCTGGCATTCCCTATGGAGCATGTCATTTTAATATTGATGACATCTGTAGTGCGCAGTTGGCATTGGTTTTATATGGCTCAATTATTCCGGTATCGTTACTATTTTGATTGATCTAGGTTTCTTTCTTAAAAAATTTATGGTTTTTTAATAGAAATTATTCTATTTCCTAGTTTCTACTCTTTCACATCATTGTTTTACAAAAACCTTCCTCCATTTTAACATAATATTCAATATAGCGTCACTTATCAAAAAACTGCTGTGTTATAATTTAAATTTAGGCAGTTGATAGTGCTTTTCTCATAGTTACTTTTGATTTTTCGTCCTGTATTCTGGTTCGAATTGATTGGTTATGTAGGTTATATTCTTATACTTTATCAAAAGGTTTGTTCTTAGTTGCTTAAGTCCATTTCCTTTTTCAAAGTAGAAGCTGAAGCTTACTTTTGTATTTGATTTTATAAAAATGGAAACTGATGTTCTATACCTGTTATGTGCAGGAAAGATCCAATGGCTTATAGATGTAGTTGCGAGCTTTCCTACTTGCTTTGAAACGCTTGGCTTGGGGGCACTAAGTTCCATTTAAAGGGGATGTCAAACCTTGCATAATATCGTGTGAATGTGTCGAATATCACTTCTGATTTACTTGTTTCTTGGCAATTTACCCCCTCTTTCCAACTTCATGGACCTCACCCAAAAAAAGGTAGATCGCGAACCTCTCCCTCTCCCTCTCTCTCTCTCTCTCTCTCTCTCTCTCTCTCTCTCTCTCTCTCTCTCTCTCTCTCTTGCTTTCCGCTTAGGGGAAGATCATGAGTGCTGATCATGTATATGGAATAGGTGTTAGACAGAAAGGTGCTCCTATGGTGCTTGATATAGGAATTGTCTTTCTGGAGATATGTTGGTTTCCATAGAATGCTAGCTAGGACACATTAACTTGCAGAATGAAGCTTTCTTGAATTCTTTGGAACTTAATTCTTGTCATCTTTCCATTGTAATAATTCTTGGACATGATTTTAGTGTAAATAGATGAGCACTTTCGTTGTTCCTCTGTATCTTTTTTGTTTTATTTGGTTGACTTGTTGAGGTTGAGCTAGTCGAAATCTTAATTTTAGGTTGGTTAATGTCCCACTTGTGGGATTATACTGGGTTGTTGTTGTTGTTGTATTTTAGGTCGGTTAATGTAATTCCCGTTTGCTGTGAAGTCCATGCCTTCATTTTCCTGCACCCTTCTCTAACTTTTGTTTTTTAAGTCTGGGAAAGAGTTTATTAATGTTTCTTTGTTTGAATGTGACTATTTGACAGAGAGGACTAATAGCAGTATAAAGTAATTGAATCAGTTAGAGGTAGCCGAATTTGGCCTAATGCTAAAATTTACTAACAGAATCAATTACGAGATAGATATACATAAAACAAAATTTCATAATATTAAACTGAGATGAACTTAAATGCAGCTCTTGGTGATCAATAAAAGCATTTTAATAAATGTTACCAAAAAAAAAAAATTCAGCGAGATGGACAGTATGACCTGAGATTTGACATAAACTCTACAGCTTACTTAACCAAGAAATGCAGGAGTGTAAGTCAGGGTCGTTAATATTACAATATTTTTGTGTGAAAGTGATTGTCTTATTTTCCTTTAAATAAAATGAAACGATGTTACCTATGTAGGATCACAATACTTTACAGGGACGATGGTTCGTTATTTCATACTAACTACGTCTAAGTCACAATCTGCATCAATTTTTTTCGAGTAGTAGATTTCTTAGATTTAATTAACAAAAGTTAATTTTAAGTATAATCTTAAACTCCCCCCTCTCCCCCAGGTAAATGAGTAACATGTTTAGCAGGATGAACGTTTGAAAATAATCCTCAAATAAGACGTGATAAATTATTACTAGAAAAAAATGTATACGCTTATAAACAATTAAAAAAATCCCTTATTACGAGTATGACTAATCGTCACTTCATTAAAATCATAATAAAATCAGTCAACAGGATTATGTTACTACTATTCTCGCCATCCAAAAGAATAGTGTAGAGTGTAAGCACAAGTGTCAGTACATCTAATTTTTTGTTATGTAAATTCTGGTATTAATATTTTAAATAAGCTGTATATTTAAATACTATATATGGGAGTTTTAAATATCTTTACAAAAATCGTAGTCAACATAAAACAATTTGACTTTGCAACATTTCTTTTAAATGCAAGAGCTCCAAAAGTCAAGTGGTGATTCTCAATCACAAACAACACTGTCCACTACTCCATACAATAAGTCTTTCCACTACTTGACTTTAACCTTTGCTCTCCTCTCTGTATGAAAAAGGAGTTTCGTAGACTTTGATTCATTTCACAAATCAATCAAGTTTGCAACTTTTTTGGGTCTATTCAGCTAAATATAATAAATCCAAATGGAGGGTCATAGTGAAAAGTGCGACCAATATATAGGAAGATCAAGAATTGCTGCAGCAATTGCAATTGGTATTGTTGTGGGATGTGTCTTTGCTTTCTTTTATCCCTATGGGTTCTTTTCTCCTGATCCACAAGCTCAAACTTAGACTCTTTCTAAATATAATGTTTTGGTAAGTCATGTCTCTGCACATATTTCTCTGTTAGTTAAATATAGAGCTAACATTTACAACATGCAAAATATATTTTAAGAGAGAGAGAGAGAGAGAGAGAGAGAGAGAGAGGGGATGATTGAAAAAATTAATTAGGCCTAGAGGTTGGCCTAGTTGATTGATTGAGTCAAGCTTTGATATGTGATTAAGGAGTTGTTAGTTTAAAAATTGAGGATATTTTGGTGCAATACTGTCTTACAAAAAGTGACTTATTGTTATAGGTTTTTGAATTATGTTTTTCTTTTTTTCTTTTCTAAAAGATGGGGCATTTAGTCATCACATGTATATTTTCATGCTGTTTACAATTCTAAATGTGATGATGAATGAACACTCCATTATGGTATCATTTCTACATGTGACATTTGATATAATTAATGGCCATAATGTCATTTGATCAGTGTTGAACTCTTCTATATTGTTTAACCAGAAAATAAGAAATTCAGGTCAAAGCGTATTTTTTAGAAGAACTCGGGTTACCGATAATCAAATTTAAAATAAGTAAGAAGAATTGAGATGATTGATAGCTGAGTAAAAAGAAAGCAAAGTAAATCAGTGTATTCCAATAATATTGTGTCCCTTTACAAGTGTTATATCTCTCCTTTTATAGCTATTTCTCAATAATACGTTTCCTTTCCTCCCATAATAGAGCTATTATGAGATTTTAATGACATTTAATATAACGTTATAATTGGTAATCGTAACTGTTTCGTGAAGATTCCATAACGTTTTTCAACATTGATGCTTATTAATTATGGATAATACGTATTTGTACTTTTTGCTATCTAGGTTCATTCCTCCAATGTCTTTTCATATTACCAAGAGGCTCGAGTAACTGTTCCTCCCATGTTTTTCTTGAATCTCTGCCCGTGCCTGTCAAAGCTCGTGCCTGTTCAGCTATCCTTTGCCAGCTCTCACTCTTTTATTGATCCACGTGTCTTGGTATATCATCACATAATTAATTCAATATATTAACTTGATTTTCCCAATACAGATAGTCCCTCCACTTGCCATTTACTCAATCAATTGAATATTTGGGAAGTGATCTCATTAAAGCGGGAATTTTTGCCGCCATTATACCTTCTTCAGAACTGACGCTTTATATGTCACTTCCATTTAATGCTCATGACACGTGGCATCCTTTAATTGAGTCTGCAACTCTTCAGCGTCTTTTTGGGCTTTTTTGCGGCTGCACCAACCACGAAGTGACAGTTTTCATTATGACTCCCCCATCATTACCTTTTTTGTTTGACGGTTGCTTCTGAGTATCAAGATAACCTTTGTCTTGTCTTTCTCATAAAAGTTTCTTAGCTTTGAATATTCCTTCTTATCTTCTTCCTTGTTTAGCCATGTCTTCCTCAAATCCTAATCCTCGTAAAATTCTTATTGTAGATGAACTTCCTCTTGCTGCAACTAGAAGCAGAAGAGGAGGTAGGTTACGTAGCTTAGGCTCCATTAGAGGTTCGCCTTTATCGTTACCTAGTTCCACTCCTCCTTCTTCTTCTAGAACCAGGAGTTCTCTTTCACACAGAGCTTCTTCTAAAAGTAGAGATTCCAATGAACCAGTTCGTGAACCCTTGGTAGATGAAATTATCCCCTCTGAACTTTTTTTTATTCCGATAGGGAATAAATTAGAAATCAGGTTTCCTCTATGTCCTCTCTTGATCGTGCTGATGTCTATCCTTCTTAAATTACCGAAGGTTTAATATCTGTCGTTCGTAGAGATTGCCATTGGAAATCTGACTTCCCCATCATAATTCCTAATGCAAATCAAAGAATCACATCCTACATGACTGGATTTTCTTTCGTGTATGCATATCCTTTTACACTGAATTTTAAACCTCCCATTGACCAATGTTTGTCTTGGACAGATTGGCCCCATTGTATGGAGTTCTGTTGCTTGCCTAAGGCATTTAGCCAGCTTGGCTAATTTGCCTTTTACCTTTTTTCATCTAATCCACCTCTACTCCCTAAGTTATTCCGACATGGTATTTTTACTTTGGTAGCGAGGAGTAAGAGAGTTTTAGTCAGTCCTGAGGATGATAAGGACCATGGCTGGTATGCCAGATTTGTTGCTGCTCCTACTGTAGGGTTAGTAGGTGAAGAAAATACTCCATTCCCTGAAAAGTGGAATTTTGCACGTAAGTTTGTTTCTGCAACTTTCTCTTCTTCTTTTTTTACTTGAAGGGGTTTGTTTTTCTCGTGACTGCCTAACTTTCTCTTTTTTGTAGCAACCATGGGAACTGTTGACGAGATTCCCAATTTCCGTAGTTGGGTAGAGAATTGTTGACTGTTGCTCCGATGGAAGGTAGATCTTGGAAAAACCTTTCTCACAGGTTTGGTTGGAAGGTTAAAACTCATGGTAAATGCTTTTCCCCTTTTTCTTCTTTTTTTTGTTCATTCTTCACTTAGAATGTATTTGCCCTTCTTTTTATCAGGGTTTCCTACTCGTGGTGTAAGTGCCGATTTGATCACAGCTTCCAGACTTTCTTTGGCAAGAGCTCAGGAGATAATTCTGAGTTCTTCATCGAAAAGGAAAGCTGATAAACCCCAGGATTATGAAGAGGAAGAGGAACAAGATGAAGGTTCCTTGATTAAAAGGCCGCGTGTTAGAAGGCGCGTTATTTCAGATGATGAAGTTACTCCTCCCCGTTATGTTCCCGTGACCGAGTCTGTTGAAGCCACCTTAGTGAGCTCAGAAGATGATACTCCTATGGCTGTTCGTGGCTCTGATGAACAACTTTTTTCTCGTGGGTTTGATAGTGAAAGTTTTGATTTGGTGTCTGATGAAGTACCTCTTGCCTCCTTTCCCGCGTCTGTCCCCATGGACCATTCTCTGCCAGTTTTTACTGCTACTACTTCTGCTCCGCCTCAAGCTATTATGACTTCCTCTACAGTCCCCACTACTAATGTTTCTTGAACCGAAATTGGTTCTTCAAGTGGAGGTAGAGTGATGAAACAAATTACCATTGAGGTCCCTGCTGAAGGTAATCTTCTAAAGAAGTAAGGTCAGGCTGACGTGTGGTTGAAACCCCTCATCGGTCCAGTTGAAAAATCCAAGCTAGAAAGTCATAGTTCTCTGACTTGGATGAATGATATCGTGCAATCATCGTTGAAGGTATAAATTTCTTTTCATATCATATACCGTTTTTCTTTTACTAAGATTCTTTTATATTCCTTTTTTTTTCTTTAGATCAATCTCGTCGGCACAGAGATGATGAAAAAGGGTCTCCCAGACGGAACAATTGATGCATGATTACCAGATCGAGACAGACAATTGGAAAGAGCAGTATGACAGTCTCCAGCTTGAAATAGAGGTTTTAGAAGAAAACAAATGTACCTTAGAGCAACAGTTGAAGATTGTAACTTCAGAGTTGGCCGTTGAGAAGGCTTCTAACAATCAGGCAGGCAAGGATAGAAATTTCCTCAAGTCATCATTTGCTGAACAACTCTCTAAAGCCTCCGAAGAGATCAGAAGCTTGAAGGCCTTGTTGAGTGAAAAAGAAGCTTATGCAGGTGATCTTGTTCAAACACTTACTCAGACCCAAAAAGATCTCCGTATGTCTTCTGATAAGGTCAAATTTT